TGATGAGCTAAGCCGTATAGCATACACAAGCGTACGTGAAACGCGGGGCGGCGAGGGCAGTGCCAGCCCTGCGGCCCGTGCGACGGGGGCCACTCACAGCAGCAGCTGGTCCAGGTAGGAGACGGCGTACGGGGACAGGGACTTGATGCCGAGCACCGGGAGCATGACGCCGAGCCACACTGCGGGGAGAGGCACCAGGTCCCGCCAGGGCAGTGCCCATCACATCCTGTCACATCCCATCCCATCTCGTCCATCCTGTCCCATCCATCCCGTTCCATCCTGTCCCAGGACAGCCACCCCAACACCCCCTGGGCAGGCACAGCCCTCAGGAAGGGCTCCAGGACAGCTGTGCTGCAGGGCACAGCTGAGCCGTGCACTCCCTGTCCTGATAGGCAGGATGGGTCCTCCTGGGATCCAGACACTTCCCCATCCCAAATGCTCCCCCCTGGGATCCAGCCACTTCCCCATCCCAGCTGTTCCTCCTGGGATTCAGTCACATCCCTGTCCTGGCTGTCCCTCCTGGCATCCAGCCACTTCCCCGTCCCAGCTGTTCCTCCTGGGATTCAGTCACTTCCCTGTCCCTGCTCTTCCTCCTGGGATCCAGTCACTTCCCCATCCTGGCTGTTCCCCCTGGGATCCAGCCACTTCCCCATCCCTGCTCTTCCTCCTGGGATCCAGTCACTTCCCCATACCCGCTCACGGGTCACTTCCCCATCCCTGCTCAGGGAAGCTGCTCTCCAGCTCTCCAGGGTCATTCCCAACCCTTTCCCACCCCTGGACGCAGCGGCAGTGCCAGGAGGGTCTCCCAGCCCTCACCTTTCAGACCCTCGTGGAGGTCGGTGAATCCAGCCTGGCCCAGCGCCCACAGCACGGTCAGGCACTTGGCCGGTCGGTTCTGGTGCGAGCGCAGCACCTCCAGGTACTGCAGGGGGATGGCACATGTCAGCTGGGAAGAGCCACAGCCTCCGAGCCCAGAGCCACGGGGCAGGCAGTGCCTGGACCCATGGAGCAGCCCCTGGAGCAGGGCAGAGCCCCTGGAAGGGACCCTCAGCACCAGGAGAGGCCAGGAGCTGTGCCAGTGGGGCAGGGGGAGCCCCAAACCCCAGCCCTGGGGGTGCAGCACTGCTGGGGAGGCAGGCAGGACCCACTGGGGACACTGGTCCCTCTGTGTGGGGAGCACAAGGCTTTGTGCACAGGTGACTCTGACTGCTCCCAAAGGATTGGAAAGGAATGGGACAGGATGTTCATGCTCGGGTTGCTCTGGGGGATCCCCAGCACCCCCAAAGCCAGGCCACCCCAGCTCACCTTGCCCAGGTTGGTGGTGGCGATCCGGGGTCTGTCCAGGAGCAGTGCCTGGATGCAGATCCTGTACCCGTGCAGTGACTCCCCTGGAAGGAGAAGGGGAAGATCTGCTCAGCCATGGCTGCCTTGGTGTCTCCCTCACAGTCTCCAGCCCAGGCACTTCCCAGGGCTCATTCCACACACTCCCTGCTCCAGGCACACCTCAACACAACTCCCAAGGCAAAGGCCCCACCTGAGCCATTCCCTAATGACTGTTCCCTGCTATTCCCATTGTTCTGAGCACCAACGAGCCCCGGGGACAGGAACAGCCCCACACCACACACCAGTGGGCAGATGTGTGTCCCCTACCCTTCCCCATGGAGAAATTCCCAAGAGCCCCCAGAGGAGGAGCAGCAGCTCCCGCGGGTCAGCACAGGGAGCCTGGGGCATGCAGGGGTCCCAGCCCCGTGCCCACCACACTGACCTGGGGTCTTGTCCAGCTCCTGCAGCATGGTGTAGATGCAGTGATCAAAGAAGAGCTCCAGCACTCCTGAGGCCCTTCCCAGCAGAGTCCGGATGATGCTCCTCAGCTCCTTGCTCACCAGGCAGTATGGATAGTCTGGAGCACAGGAGGGGAGAGGTTAGTGAGATCCCATTGCGGAGTTCCAGCTGGAGGAGGAGCTGCTCTGACACAAGGAGGGTACAGGGAGTGCCTCCTCCCCTGTGACTGCGAGAAACAACTAATCCAGCCCTAAGGAATGGCTTCCCATTACATGAGAGGATGGACACGGGTCTGGAAGACATTTCACTCCCTTCCCCCTCGCCACAGGCACTCAACACCAGTGGGGACCACCACAACATGCAGGAGAGGGAAATCCATCCCCAGTATCCCTCTGCCAGACACCTGTGAGCTGATTCCCAAACTCCAGAGCAGCAGGCAGAGCTCACAGATCCCGGTGGAAAAGGGGTGAGCTGGGGAGCCTCTCATTTGCCACCGGTACAGGCAGTTTCAGTGTGCTTGTGGCCAAGGGAAGGCAGTTGTGGGGACGCCCCAGGAACAGGCAAAGCCTCTCTGAGCTACAGACCACGACCTCAGCCCTTCCCAGTGGGCACTGGGATACAGACCATGGGCGTGCTGGCTCAGCGTGGGGTCACTCCTGGGTGCCTGCAGCTTGTAGTTGAGGTACCCAGCCAGGTCCTTCACCCACACTGAGGGATTGTCTGGGAACACACTCTGGCTCTTCTCCAGCTCCTTCTGCAGATCCGCCAGGTCCAGCTGGAAGGAACAGCAGGACAAAGTCAACCCATGCTGAATGAAATTGGGCAAAAAGCAAGGAAAGCAGAGAGCTAACTCTGGGTCCTGAGGGGCTGTGGGCACGGAGGGAAACACACCTTCCTCCATCCCCAGGACACTGCCCTTCCCACCTGGAGAGCCCCGGGCTGGTGGCTCTGTGCCAGCACCAGGGAGCCCCGAGGCACACACTGGCACTGCCCAGGGCTCGCTCACGCCTGCAGCTCATGAGATCAGCCTGGTGTGACCCCAGCTGTGGCTGGTCTGTGTGGGCACCGCCAGGAACTCCAGACCTGGAGTCCTCCAGGGAGGAAACACGCAGACACACCTGATGGACAGCCTGGCAGTGCCCAGCCTGCAACACAGGGAGGAACCATCCACGAGCACCCACACCCTCCTGACAGCCAACCCAGCACTGCCAGAATCAGAATGCAGCAGCAGCTCCTGTGCCCTCATCCCTCCGTCCCCTACCCAGACACACTCATTCCCTGATCTTACACCTGGATTATCCACAGGCTCGTGGGGCAGCTCAGGGCACACGACAGGGCTCAGACTCCCTGTGAGGTTTCCCAGAGCCTGGTGCTCCCTGTAAGCAGAATTCCACTACCATGTGTTGGCAATGCTGAGCTGGGTGTGTGTTTGCCTTTGAGGGGGAATTGCTTTGAGGAGGAACTTGACCCAAAACAGCTGCTGCCACGGCAGGAAACAGAACCCAGTCGGGGCCTCGTGGGGTCTGTCACTACTGGGCACAGGGACAGCTCCAGCCCCACCACCCTCCCTTGGGAACACGGGAATCACAGCAGGGAATCAGATGGTCCTGCTCTGACTGTCACCACGGGCAAAAGCTGAATGTGGAGAACCACCGGGGAGCACATGGAACCCCCCCCAGTGCAGGAGGGAGCGGAGGGAATGCCTCCCATGCAGGGGGGAGGTCCCAGGGGACAGGTGAGGAGCTGAGTGGGCAGTGCTATGGGGACCCTGCCAGGCAACTTCCCCACGGACAGATCACCCCAACAGAGCCTATGTTGGGTCATTTCTGTGCCCAGACATGGCCCAGACAGGCAGGACAGACACAGACAGGTTCTACAGATCCAGCAGGAGTAGCTCCCAGCGGTGAGACAGGGAGGAGGACCCACCCACGAGGCTTCCTCGGGGTTCTTCCCAGGCAGACAGACAGGGAGTGAGGGAAGAAACCAGAAATTCCCTTCCAGCTGCCTCCCATTGCTCTGTCTCCTGCCTCCAGCACGAGGCAG